ACAGCTTCTGTAAAAACTGCATTCCATGCCATGCCTGGAAAGTGCCGTTCCGGATCTGCGTGATGAGATTTCCACCAAGGTTTCTGGGGAAAAAGAAGATCACAGAAATGAATCGGGTCTGTCCTACAGGAAGCCGGAGCGAAGCAGTATTGATTGGTAGGAAATATGCAAATCCAAGGTAGAATAGGGAGGAAACTGCCCTTTTCTCATTTTTTTTTAACCTGTCAAGGAGAGGAAATGAAGTGCACATGTGCTTAATCTATTTCTGTTCCAGGATACAGCAAGCCTTCAAGAAACGGCTTCTATTATGGCCGCGTTAGGATAACCACGCTATGATCTCTCATCCTGTTGTGGGTCATCCAGCCGTCTGCATTGATCACTTCAGCTCAGTTAGTCTTTTAGCGGGAGAAATTTAGTCATTGTTCTAAAAATAACAGGAACATTTTCTATCACAAAAAGGGTTATAAATGCAAACAGACCACTAAATACACTAGAAAGAAACTTTTATAACTCACATAAGCTGCAAAAAAGGAAGTGGCTCAAAAGCATGTTCCTCAATTGACAGGATTTTATTGCAAGATAAATCCCTGTTAAAATTAGAACACGAAATGTTAATTACATTTGCACTGTCATGTTTACTTTCATTTGCTTTGACACTGGCAGCATATATGTTACACGGCTCTGATTTCACGCGGTGTTTATATCTGATATTAGCTTGCAGTGGTGTGTAACCTGTGATAACCTTCCTGACCGGAGGTGGCTTCATCTCAGTGATTTTTTTTTAGCTCTGATCCCACCAGAACTATTTTAGGGCTTGATTTTCCTCTCTGATAACAGAAAAGATTCTTTATGCAGGCACGGTTTAGCAGCCGAGGATGCATTTGCATGGACCACGCCAATGTGTGACCCTCTGGATGTGCCACAGAGATGCAGCCTGCCTTCCCCTGGTGCCATCAGTGCTTTCCTTGCTGAAGTCAGCCAGAAAAGCCTGAACAGCACCTCGTTTGAGGGCTCAGGGATGGGTTGGTAACCACATGTGTGACCAAAATGGTTATTTTTCTCTTAATCCCTCCCTCCTACACCACATTTGGTGAGAAAGTTACGTTAAAGGGACCCTATTAAAGATGCAAAATCAAGAACATGGAAGCCTGGAAAGGGCACAATGAAGGGGTAACCTAAACTGCACAGCTCTGCTTTGAGATGTGTGTAGACACTCAGCCGCTGCAGGATTCACCTGGCCTAGCTTTAGAAATCAAAAGGTTCGTTGCCTCAGCCTGAATTAGCTGCCCAGGCTTGTTCCGCAGCAAAGAGCGAGAGAGAAATATTTTCGGGGAGTGATTCATCCCCTCCTCAGACAGGTTCCCAAGATCGTTTGGGTGAATGGGAAGTGCCTGTTCCTCTCCATGGAAAATAAAGAGAGCTTGAACGATTAGCTTAATCCTAGGCAATTATTAGGCATCTAAAATTAGAGGAGATGAATGCACAAGGTTTCTTCTGTAGGAGATGGCCTCGCTGCTGGAGAAGATGCTCAGGGAGAGCGTCGAGGAGCGGCTGCAGCTCTCGCCTGTGGGGTCTGGACCTCCCAGGGAGGCAGCCGGGTGGCGGGAGGAAGGTCTTTGCACATGCAATCTCAGAAGTGCTTTGGAGAGTTCAGTTTTCAGCCTTGTGGAAGGAGAGCGTGGCTGGGAGCCTGTTTCTTCCCAACCTGACTCATTTAACCTGCAACCCACATCCTGCAGAACATGCTTTCTCCTCTTAAGTTCTTGGATCCTTCTTTTCCACGATGTAGGGCACACGTACTTGCTAAAAAGACACGGGGAGGGGAAGCTAGTGTGGGCAGTGGGCCTCAGCACTGGCACTACCTTGTTTTCCACCATTCCCCAGCACTGAGACAAGGCTTAGATGCAGCCCTAGGGCTGGCTCACCACAGGAGCAGCTCCAGAAAGGCCAAGACCACCCTGGACTTGGCTCCTTCCAAGCCAACGTGCATACTAGAAAATACAAAACCTCCCTTTTTGTGGGAAAAATGCAAGCACGTAAGGGTCATGCTCAATAAATGACACTACAAATGCAAACGGTGATGGAGCTGAGATACTTGCAATGATCTACAAATATGAGCAACAGAGGGGATTTTGGGACACCTCTCTGTGCCCTCATTTCAGCTACTCTAATAACAGAAGAGCGGGACCCAAAACATGACCCTTACGAGCCAACTCCAAGCCAGGGCTTCCCTTGCTGTCAGCTTTTTCACACAAGTAGCATTTTTATCTTTGACATGAGGTTTGTGTTTGAGAAATGAGTGTACCCGCATCTCCTCTGAGGCTCAGGAAATCTGGACTCTGGACAGTAAAGCTCTGAGCCTCCACGGGGGGATTTATTTCTGCCTCTCAGCCCTTAGGATAAGAAAAGAGAGCGTGACAGCAGCCAAGCAGAGGACAGAGATCAGGGCAAGATTTTGCCGTTCTTGTTTCACACTTCCTTTGCCTGCATGGCACAGGAAACACCAAAATATGTAAAAAACTGAACTTCAAGGAGAAAAAACCCTAATGCTCCTCTGCTCCCTTCCGGATAGTGTTAGAAACAGAGCGCTTGTTGCAATTTCATATGACAGTGTGTGGACATAGATGCACATCTGTTTCTCCTCCAAGAAGAGGGGGGACTCAGCTGGATATGGCCCTGAGCAACTTCATTGATTTTTTTATAGAAAAAACCTGTGCTAGCTTTGAGGTTAGCCCTGCTCGGAGCAGGAGGTTGAAGCACAGATCTCCCAACCTCAGTCCATCTGGGATTTCAGCAGAGGAAGGGGTAGTGCAGGCTTCTCTCTTTCCATCTGGGATAGCCACCGGAGAGGCTATCCCAAGAGTGACCAGCCATCTGGGGCTCTGTCTTCACCTCAATGGAGGTCTTTCCACCCAAACCCTAGCAGAAGCAAGGCATGCGTGGGTTTTGCCTTGTTCTATGTGGTTCTTACCCCAAAAATGTTGGTCCTCAGATAAACAGAGCCAGAGGCAATCTCCCAGGGTGTGGGAGGTCACTGTTAGCTTGGGGCTGACTAGAAGTCATCCAGTATCTGTGGGAAAGGGCAGCAGCCTCCCCCTCATGGTTGGATTTGGGGAAATGAAAGCTGCACCGTGCCCCTATGGGAATTCTCCCACCAGGCACTATTGCAGCACCGAGACACCCTGCTCTGCTCTGGCTGTAGCTTGAAACCGAGGAGGAATAAAGCACACTTGCATGGGGGTGGGTCGAGCAGCAGGGGTCCAAGGGAGGGTGAGGCAGTAGCCCACCGCGGTGGGCAGGGGACGGTACCTACACGTGCTTGAACAA